GTTGCGTGTTGCTAGGATGGATGTTTGCAGCTGTTTCTTCTCATTTTGAATTGTGTCCCATCAGCAAAGTCACATGCAAGAAGAAAGATGTCATGCGGGGATAGAGCTACAGTTAGGAAAGGAATGCCAGGGATTGCCCCCAGCCCCCAGCAGCTGGGAGGGAGATGTGCAAGAGTTTCTCGCCCTGAGCCTCTGAAAGACTGGACAGGGCTGATGCCCTGATCTGGTCTCCCAGCCTTCAGAACAGCCAGGTCACCTTGCAGGTTTCTGCTCTTTAAAGTCGGCCACACTGCAGCCTTTTGTTATGATGGTCTTAGGAAACCAAGACCTGGGGTTGCTCAGTAGTGGTTGAGTTGGTAGATTTCTTGCCTTCCATGTGGGAGCTGTTGTTGTTGTTAAGTGCCGTCCGCTTGGTTCCAACCCATCTCGACTCTGTATAGAGTTTCCAAGGAGCGGCTGGTGAATTTGAACAGTTAACCTTGTGGTTCGAACCAATCTTGCGGTCCAGTGCTTTATTCCATAGTGCCACACCAGGACTCCATGTGGGAGACCTGGGTTTAATGCCAGGCCCATGCAACCCACACACAATCGTTTAGTGGAGGTTTGCGTGGTGCTAGGATGCTGAGCAACCTCAATGTCTAACCTTACTTCCCAGTTTCCCCAAACTCTCCAACCATGGAACCCTCAGGTCTGTGACTGTTGTGTGTACCACACCCATCTCAGCCCCAGACTCTCCTTTCGAACTGACAGTCCCATGTCCGGGAAACCCCATCATCCCCAACCAACTAGGACTGCCGGCCTCCCTCACTCTATCTCAGGTCTCCACCTGGATGCAGCTCCTCCCTCCCCACCTGCCTCCCACGCCCTGCCCTGGGCCTTTAATCAAAGTCACCTCTCTGTTTAGACTGGCCATACTCCTGTATGGTTGCTATAGCCCAATACCTCCAATGGTTCAAAACGGGTCAGCGACCGCCCTCGTGAACAAAGACCATATACTCATTGCATTGCAAGCAAGTCTGCTGCTGGTGGCGCGGTAGGATCAGCACTGGACTGCTAACCACAAGGCTGACAGTTCAAACCCACCCACTGCTGCTCAGAAACCCTATCAATGTTACTGTAAGTCCAGATCGACTCAACGGCACTTCACAAGAAGAACAAGAAACAGACAAGCGTACCCACTCAAATATGGCGGCCAACCAAGCTGCTTTGAGCGTGTGTTGCTCTCCCAAAATTCTGCCGCTGTCCTTCTCCCAGAGCGCTTTGGGAGCCTGGTGCGGGAGACTGGATTATTAATGGGACTCTGGAGAGCAGCGCACATTCAGAGCCGAGTGGTTGACTGCCATCTTTGATTGGGATACTGCTGATTTCTTCTCGAAACACCATGGGCAACAGGCTTGGCTATTATGCAACATGTATGCAATCCTTGTGTATGACAGCAATTACTGAACTATTCTGAATCGGTTTGAAGTCCTGCCAAGTGGTGGCTTATAAGAACAGAAATTTCTTGTCTCCGTTCTGGAGCTAGGAGTCTGAATTTAGGCCGTCAGCAAGGCCATGCTCTTTCCAAAGATCCCTTTCTGGTTTCCTAGCTTCTGGTAGCCCCAGCCGTCCTTGGTGTCCCTACAATCTCTGCCTCCATTGCCACTCAGCCTTCTTCCCTCTCTGTTCACCTCCTTCACAAGGTCAACAATCATATGGGATTAGGCTCCACCTTACTCCTGTTGTTGTTGTTGTTAGGTGCCATGGAGTCAGTACCAACTCATAGTGACCCTATACACAACAGAACGAAACTCAGCCTGGTCCTGTGCCAACCTCACAATCGTTGCTTCACCCGAGCCCACTGCTGCTGCCACTTGGCATATCCGTCTCGTTTGAGGGTCTTCCTATTTTTCTCCATCTCTCCATTTTACCAAACATGATGTCTTTCTCCAGGGACTGGTCCCTCCTGATAATATGTCCTAAGTCAGAGAGACGAAGTCTGGCCACCTTCCTTTAGTATGGCCTCAAGTCAATTGAACTGATAAATTTGTCAAAAACTCTATTTCCAAACAGGTCACATTCCCAGGTACTTTGTGACTTCAGCATTTTCTCTTTTTCTGGTGGTGGTGGTGGTGGGAGGGTTGTTAAGTACCATCAAATCAGTTTTGACTCATAGTGACCCTGAATAGGGTTTCCAAGGAGTGATTGGTGAGTTTGAACTACTGACCTTGTGGTTCAGTGCCTACCCTACAGCATCACACTAGAGGCAGGAGGTGGGGGGAAGGTGCATAATTTAACCAATTCAATCCCTAACACAGTAGCTCTCTCCCCTTCTTCTACCAGATGGCCTCTACTCTGCCTGGCTCGGTTGTCTGGGGAGTCCGGGTCCCCAGTCCCTGCAACTCTGCCATGTGTCGAAGGGAGAGTTGGTGACAGGTGACAAGGTCAGAGGTGGACATGAGGTTCTTGGCATCTGTGATCTACCCTTATGACCTTGTAGCCACCAGTTGCTCTGGACTCCAGGCCCCCACCAGTTTACCTGCCCCCCAGCACTCAACTCACGCCCCTATTTGTTGGGCATTTCCCCTTGGGGATCTGTCAGGCCTCCATCTCAAACCAAACAGATTCCCATCACCCACAGCGGGCCCCCACAGTCTTTCCCTGCAGGAGAGCCCTTGGTCCCCTGCTTGGTCAACCCTTGGTGTCACACTTGGAATCCACTCTCATGCCCATGTGCATCATCAGCAGGTCCTGACTCTGCCTCAGAGAAAGATCTAGAATCTACCCCTTTACTCCTCCACCCAAGGCTTCAAACTGGTCTGACCCTTTGCTGAGAATTAGCATTTCCACCCCATTTATACGGAATCAGAATCTACATTTAAGCCAGGTTCTTGTACGTAAGCATCACTTGAGGATCTTGGTAAAATATGGATTCGGATTCAATATATCTGGGACAAACCTACTGCCATCCAGTCGATGGCAGTAGAGATCCTGTTGATGGAGACCCTGTATAGGGTTTCTGAGGCTGTACATTTTTATGGGAGCACGAAGCTTCATCTTCTTCCCATGAGATGTCTGGTGGGTTTGAACTGCCAACCTTGCAGTTATCAGTTCAGTGTTTCTCCTACAGCACCACCAGGATTCCTTTGTAAATCTGAGGTAGAAATGCAGGTTCTCAGCAGGGTGTGAACCCTAAGGAACTGGTCCCGCTTCCACCCTCCTGCCACCGCAGTAAAGGAGTGCTGGTGATGCAGTAGTTCAGTGCTTGGCTGTTAACCGGAAGGTCACCGGTTTGAAACCACCAGACAGTCCAAGAGGGCGTCGGCTTTCACACAGACTGACCCCCTTGGAGACCCTCTGGAGCCCGCCTCCTCTGTCCTCTATACAGCTGTCCATCATGCTCACCCCACCTCTGGCCACCAGTGCCCAACGCAGCAGCCAGGGGTCCTGCTTAAATAGTCAAATCTCAGTGTCCTCTGCTCACACGCCTCCGCTGGGACTCACTGACCTCGCAGTGAAGCCTTCAGCCTGCACACTCAGCCTAATGGGCTATGCCACTGGCCCCAGCCCAGCCCACCTCCCACCCTAGTCATTGCTATTCCTGGCTAGCTCCACCGCGCTCCCTCATTGCCTAGAACGGACCCATACCTGGGCTCCTTATTCAGACTGCACCCCGCCATCCCGTCCCACCCCACCCACTATAGCCCCTCCCTCCCCCATAACCGGCTCCCGCTCCTGTTTTCTCATACAGTCTAGTGTCTATTAAACCAAGTCAAAGAAGGCTTGGTGGTACAGTTCTTAAGCGCTTGGCTGCTAACTGAAAGGCTGAAGGTTCAAACCCAACAGCCGCTCTGCGGGAGAAAAATGAAGCAGTCGGCTTCCCGTAAAGGTTCGCAGCCTCGGAAACACTATGGAGCAGTTCTGCTCTGTCCTGTAGGGGCAGGGCACCGTGGGCAAACGCAACAGGAACCGTTGGAGTGGGTTTTCCACTGAAGCAGGGGAGTTCATGTGTGGTACAAATGATTAATCACTCCACTACTAACAGAAAGGTTGGCAGTTCAAGCCCACCCAGACGTGCCTCAGAAGCCAGGCTTGGTGATCCGTTTGCAAAAGGTTACAGCCTTAGGGGTGCCATGAGTCAGAGGTGGCTGGACGACCACTAAAGGCAACCACTTTGATTCACTTGTTTGTTTGCTGCTTCGGTTTTATCCAGTATCCTTTTGAGGGAGGTAGGGGGTCTTTGATTTGTCTGTGCTTTCTTTCTCAGTTTTTCTAGCAGTGCCAGGCACATAGTAGGTGTTCAATGAACAGCTGTTGGTTGAATCCATGAAGGCGGGGACAGGGTCCTGTTTGTTTTCCTGTTCTTCTCTTTGATGACCCCAGGGCTCAGCACAGTCTGGCACCTCATAGGTGCTCTGCAGGTTTGGGCTGGATGATGTTCACATGATCTCCCCCGACTCTCATGCCCACGTCTGTGATGCCACCACCGGTGACTCATCCTATTGGGTTAAGCCTTGCCAGCTCCAGCTGCTGCTAACATGCAAATACTTCTGCAGCCCATAAGCCACCAACACCTTAGTATAAATTAATTAGTGGCCCTGAGATGGTCTGACAGGGAGGTCGTGGAGTGGGTGGCAGGGATGGATTGCTCATCCATCTCCTACCCAGCCAGGATGCCCAATGTGGCTCTGGCAGACAATAGAGACTCACTGTTTTGTTGAATGAACACTGAATCAGGCTAGGGTCTCCACCTCAAGGTGTTGGGGACCAAAAGACTTACAGGCCTCATAAAACTTTAAGTCTGGGTCTAACCAGACAAAGTCTGCTTATCAACACAGCAGGGAAGGAAGGTAGCTTTCCCAAGGTCGCAGTAAAGGACAGACTTGTAACTATGCAAAACAGCAATGACTTGCAGAACCACCCTATATATACTCTGAGATTGGAAATAAACGTTGTCACTTGCCATCAGCTTGTGTCCCTTGCCTATTCGTTAATCCTCGCCTCTCCTTCGGGAAACCCACACAGTGGTCTGAGCAGATCTCGGACCCCGATATCAAGGACTTCTCCTTCCGTCCTTCCCCAGGAAGCCACTCCCTGCCACTTCCGAAAACTTCCTCCAGTTCCTTCTCCTTGGCACCCCCTTCCTGACATCTCAGGGACACATGCTGTCCCTTGGCGTTCATGACAGGGGACTGGGTCCTAAGAAGGCAGGAAAGGCTGGAATGGAGAAGGAACTGGGAGACACAGAGGGAGGAGCTGGAGTTGTGGGCCCCCAGTGGAATCCTCCGATCAGCAAACATCCATGTGCACCCAGTGTTCACCAGGCACAAAGGAGCCCTGGGACCCATCCTCTCCTCTTCACACTCACCCAGCATCGGAGTGGCCCCCAGGGCCCCTGCCCACACACCCTCATCCTGTGACACCTTTCCCAGTCCAGGGCCCCTGCCCACCATGTGGACACCTCATTATCATGACTTACTCACCAGCCTTCCGCCCCCATGAGGACGTGTGCTTCCTGAGGGAAGAACCTGAGTTGTGTGCCTCGTGCCACACAGGTTGTGCTATATACTGCAGGCACCAGGTCAATGCTTGTCAAGTGAGCTGGGGAGCCAAGCCACCTGAGGGACCCCAGTAGAGGGCACTGGTGAGGAGGGGAGTGTTCTGTCAGATGCCCCATGCCCACCTTTGCAGTTCTGTGGGGGTGTTTTCCTGCAGCTCCCCCTAGTGGAGAACAGAGGGTAGTGCACCATGGGTGTCACGGACAGCTCTGAGCGCCAGAGCATCCGCCCCCATGGCTTATCTTTGGACCGTAGGGACAGAGCAAGGGGGATCTCCACAAAGCCAAGGGGTAGGTGTTGCCTACATTTAACCAGAAGCCTTCCTGTTGTTGTGGGTCGGGTAGCGACCCAAGGTGACAAAGTAGAACCACCCCACAGGGTTTCTAGAACCCATAGTTATGGAAGCTGACTGCTACATCTTTCCCTCCTGGAATAGCAGGTGGGCTGAGAGTTTACCCACTGCACTATCAGGGTTTCTGCTCTACCAAAGATCATTTTTGTTTTCTTTTTAACTTTTTGCTGTGATTTGGGTGAAAGTTTACATAGCAGATTGGTTTTCCATTAGACAGTTCAGACCCATTTTGTTGCGTGACATGGATTGCTATCCCCACCATGTATCATCACTCTTCCCACTTCCTCCCTCTGTTTCCTGCTTCCATTCCTCCTTCTTGCCTGTCCTTTCCTGCCTTCTGAGCCTTGTTGTTGCTAGGCGCCATCGAGTCAGTTCCGACTCATAGCGACCTTATTATACACAAGAACGAAACACTGCACCGTTGGTCCTGTGCCAGCCTCACAATTATTGTTTAAATTCATTGTTGCCCTCCACTTTACCAAGCATGATGTCCTTCTCCAGGGACTGGTGTTTTCTGACAACCTGTCCAAAGAACGAGAGATGAAGTCTTACCATCCTAGCTTCTAAGGAGCATTCTGGCTCAACTTCTTCTAACATTGATCTGTTTGCTCTTCTGGCAAAACATGATACTTTCAATATTCTTCTTCAACACCATAACTCAAATGCATCAGTTCTTCTGTGGTCTTCCTTATTCAGTGTCCATTTTCACATGCACATGAGGCTGTTGAAAATACCGTGGCTTGGGTCAGGTGCACCTTAGTCCTCAAACTGCCATCTTTAAGGAGGTCTTGTGCAGCAGATTTGCCTACTGCAATACGTCATTTGATTTCTTGACTGCTGCTTCCATGATCATTGATGGTGGATCCAAGCAAAATGAAGTCTTTGACAACTTCAATCTTTTCTCCATTTGGCATGACGTTATTCATTGATCCAGTTGTGAGAATTTTTGTTTTCCAGCAAGCAAGTTTGTGTCATCTGCATTTCGAAGGTTGTTAATGAGTCTTTCTCCAACCCGGATGCCCCATTCTTTCATATAATCCAGTTTCTCAGATTATTTGCTTAGCACACTAGACTGGGAACCTCAAGGTAAGAGATTCTAATCTACCAGTGACTCCTTGGAAACCCTATACAGGGTCGCTGTGAGTTGGAACCAACTCAACAGCACAAAACAACAACATACAGAATGAGTAAGTATGGTGAAAGCATACAATCCTGGCACACATCTTTCCTTGTTCTGTTCCAACAACTGCCTCTTGGTCCTTAGGCAAATGCTGCCCTACCTCTCGTGTGACTGATTGCTCAGAGGAGCTGGTACTTCCTTGGTGTTACAATTACCTTATAGGCCTGCCTAGCATTGGGCTGAAAGTGGCCTTTTTGACAGTGACAATTTCTGGGGAAGGTCTCCGTTACAGACCCTGAGAACGCTACCTGAGAAGTAGGCACCCTCTGTTGGCAGCCTAGTCCCACCGATGGCTAGTTTGCAGGGTCTGCCCCCAGGGCAGGCTCTGCACAGTTCCGGTGGGGAACAGGTCTTGACAGAGAACTTGAACTCTATAGAAAGTCAGACTTGCCCAGAGGGGCTCAGTCATGACCTTGGCCAACCTCCAGGGACCACCTCTGACCTTCCTCCACCAGCAACCAAGTCACCCTCTCCCAGCCTCACTCCACCTTGTCCACCAGGCCTGTGTTGATGGCCCCTATGTCCTAGTCAGACCCCCTACTAGGTTTCTGAGTCTCCTACCCCAACACTATGACCCTGTGTGACTGCCACATTGTGCCCACTTCCTTGCTTCCTTCCCTGTGGGATTGTGGGCCTGACTGCTTCCTAGGATCCATTGCTCCCTGCTGGGTGATCTTGGGCAAGGGCCTCAGCCTTCCTAAGCCTCGGTTTCCTCATCTTCTCAATGGGGAGAATGAGAAGAGGATTTGGGGATTAAACAAGCTGATGCCTGATGCACATAAGCACCTGGTCGGCTGATGTTGTTATTTTATTATTCATCCTGCCTACCCCCTGCATCAGCATGAGGTCTGCTGATTAAATGAATGGACCAAGGTGTACAGGTCTGTCTTGGAGGAGGAGGAAGTTGGCTTCTGCTTGGGGTGGGGGTGTCGCAAGAGTGCGGGGTGGTGAGTCAGGGTGGATTCAGCATGCAAGGTGACCCTGAGATCTCGGAGGGTAGGCTCTGCTGAGGGAACACTGCCCCCTCACAGATCCCCCAGAGCCCGTGGGAGGGGTCCTTGAGGCCCGCAGGGGGGACCTCCAGAGTATTGCTGCCCCAGGAAGGGTGGATAGGAAAGGGTCCCTGGTCACAGACCCTAGCCTTTCTCTGCCAGCCCCCCAGGGCATCTGAGGCTGGCCAGGCCTTCAACCTGCTCAAGCCCTGGCCCAAGGTCACAACAGGAAGGTGGTTCTCCACCTTCTGGGAAGATGCTGCTGGGATACCACGAGGCCACGAGGCCTCCGCCTGACTCAGCCTTCCAGGAAGTGGGCTAACGGGATTCCTGGGTCCCGGGCTCCCTAAGTCACAGTGGGAGGGGGACCCAGAGGCAGAAGCCGTTACTGTGCCCTCTGGCACCCCTCAATAGCCCCATGGCCCGAAGGCCCTGGAGCCCCCAACACCTGAAGGCCAGATTTTAGCTACCTCAGACCCAGGCACCTGGCTCTGAGCCCTTCCCCACTTGGGCCATCTTTCACACATGAGGACCCTTTTCTGCCTCCTTTCCCAGACATCAGTGTCAAGTTCACAGTCCAGGCCCCAGGGCAAGGGTCTCACCAGAGACTCCAGGCCTTAACGGCTCATTTCCTCCCTGAAGTCCCACCCCCTTCCCCTCCCGTGACCTACAGCCCTGGGTGGCTGGGACTGAGCCACTGCGGGGACTGGTCCGACCACATTCCGCTTCTCAGGATAAAACCTGGCGGGGCCTTGGGGCAGAGTGCTCATTTGACCGCCTGCCACCCGACTCACCTGCACAGCCCTTGGGTCCCTGGAGACCACTGCCTGGCCGTGCCCCACCTGCCTGCCATGGTGGTTTTTAGATGCCCCCCAGCCTGGGGTGGGGGCGGCCCCTGGATCTTAGCTCTCCTGCTGTTTCTGTCCTCCGCAGGTGAGTTGTGGACCTGCTGTCTGTCCCAGGGTCCCTCCTCTCTCATCCCTTTTCCTTTCCTTCTCTCTCTGCTCGCCTTTGGCTTTGTGCCTCAGTTTCCCCTCCAGGTCAGCACCTGAGGCATTGCCCAGCACACAATGAGCGCTAAGAATGTGCCGCGTGCTCTCTTATTCCATATCATCCTGGCATCATCACCTTCCCCCCTCTGTCCTCTCCTTGCATCTTGGGCTGGTGGCACACTTTGTCCCGTGGCAGGTGGGTAAAGGCGGAGGAGGAAGGCAGCAACATCTGAGCCTTGGACCTGAAGGGGGCAATGTGTGTGTGTGTGTGTGTGTGTGTTTCTGAGGGACACAGTCTGTGTGATTGTGTGAAATACAAATACACAGAGAGAGAGACACTGTGTGTATGTAGATACTTGAGCCAGAGACTCAGCTCTGGGGAAACAAGACCAAGGGCTCAAATATGTATTTCCTGAGCCTCCTCCGCTCTCGCTGGGCCCCTCAGTAAGAGGCACTCCAGGCCTGGCCCTGCCCTGCCAGGTGGGATGGAGCCTGGCATGGACAGGAAGCAGGTAGGAGGTGAGGGTAAGGCCGCAGCTGCAGAAGAAAACTTGAGGCACCAGGAAATGCCCGCCCTGGGAGGCCACCTGGATGGCCCCTCGCTGCCACCCGGCACAGTCTCCCCTCCCACCGGCCTGACCCTTTCCATCTCTTGTCCTCAGCCATCCTGGATGCCGCCAAGATGCCTGGTGAGTACCTGCTGGCTGCCTAAGGGGACCTTTAGACCAAGAGGGAGAAAAGGTCCGAGAGGAGGGGCCTTGTCTATGTGTCTGTGTTTGTGGAGAAGGGGAGAACGGGGCGAAGAAGGAAGGACAGGAAGAAAGATCCAGAAAGTAGAAGAAAGCCTGGGCGTGGGTCAGAGAGGGCCAGAGGAGGCAGAGGGACCCAGGAGACCAGCAGCGGTGGAGGGGAGCCCCGCTAAGGTCTTTGGAAGGAATAGAGAAGGAAGAGGTCAGTCCAGGCAGGAAGGCAGAGGGAACGACGGCCAATGAGGACTTAGGTAAAAAGGCCTGACTGCTCCTCAGGCCTGAGAGTGTGAGGTAGGACCGGACAGAGGTGTCCAGGGACAATACAGCCTTGCTTCCCTCACCAGTGCCCCCAGCCTGTGGGAAACCGCGGCAACTGAACCGGATTGTGGGCGGTGAGGACAGCGCGGACGCCGAGTGGCCGTGGGTTGTGAGTGTGCAAAAGAACCACAGCCACCACTGTGCGGGCTCGCTGCTCACCAACCGCTGGGTGGTCACTGCTGCCCACTGCTTCAAGGGGTATGTGAGCCCATCCCTGCCACTCTGAAGTCCTGGTGGAGGCCCCACTGCTGCTGCCCACCCCCCTCCCGCCCCCGCCCAGCCAGCCCAGCCGACCCTCTTACCTCTTTCCGCAGCCACCTGAACAAGCTGTCTGAGTTCTCTGTGCTGCTGGGGGTCTGGCAGCTGGGCAACCCTGGCCTTCGTTCCCAGAAGGTGGGGATCGCCTGGGTGCAGCCTCACCCTGTGTATTCCTGGAAGGAAGGTACCCGAGCCGATATCGCTCTGGTACGCCTCGAACACTCCATCCAGTTCTCCGAGCGGATCCTGCCCATCTGCCTCCCTGATTACTCAGTCCATCTGCCTCCCAACACGAACTGCTGGATCGCAGGCTGGGGCAGTGTCCATGAAGGAGGTACCGCTTCTTCCCCGCAAAGTGGCTGGAGATGGATAGGGGCGGGCAGAGAAAACGTACTGAGCGAGACCCGGATGTTGATCTAGAGCTATGGAATCCCAGAAACCTGGGCGGACTATTTTAGGTCATTTCAATTTAAGAGTTCATAACTGCAGCCAGGTAAATCCAAACTATTGACAGATACAAGAATGGCTGAAAGGAAGGCAGGAATCGGGGCGGGCCTAAGAAAACAGCCCCAAGATTCCAAAATAGGAACAGGCGCCCCTGGTGGCAACAGGCCACAATTGCAGGCAAAATTTCCTAGGCGGAAATGCTATCTCCGTAACCATTAAGTACTTCCAAACCAAGTCTAGGGTGTTTGAAAGGCATCATTGAAAACCTGAGCAGGCCAAATAAAGCAGCAGGCAAAGAAGGAGAAAGAGACAGCGACTGAGACAAGAAAAAGAAACATACCAGGGGCCTCTCAAAACTTCCTGGAAAAATTCCATTTTGCACAAACTTTTTGAAGCCTCTCCCCACCTTGTACCAGTAGAAACTAGGAGATGAAGGAGATGACAGTGGACGACACATTCCTAGGAAGGGAAACTAGTAAGGAGATAGGGGAAGACAAATGTGGGACTTTAGCGGGATTCCAGAAGCGTTCAGAGAAATGACTCACCAGGCTGGGTGTCTGGGAATCTTACAGGCTGAGGTTCCAGCTTCCCCAGAGCCTTCCTGAGGTTTTCTGTGGGAGCTGGGATTCCAGACTGGGAAGAGTGTATGGACCAGTCATAGGCAGGGTGTGGAAGCTCTTCCAGTCCAGGTTCATTCACACTCAGTGGACACTATTGTTAAGTGCCGTTGCGTCGAGTTGGTTCCGACTTATAGAGACCCTGTATGGGATTTTCAAGGATCAACTGGTCCATTTGAATTGGCAATCTTATGTTTCAAACTGGCCTTGCCGTACCGTAAAGTGCTTATCTTACAGCGCCCACCACTACCGAATACTTATTCTCTAGTAGCTCCCAAAGGAGCTCTGGTAGCGTAGTGGTTACGAATCGGGCTGCGAACCACAAGGTCAGCAGTTCGAAACTACCAGCTGTTCCGCGGACAAAAGATGAGGCTTTCTCCTCCCGTAAAGATTTACAGCCTTGGAAACCCTGTACAGGGTCACTATGAGTCGGAACCGACTCCGTGACACACAACAACAACAAGTAGGCCCCAAGCTGGAAAAAGGTGCATCTGAGATGGGGAAAGAGCATGTTCTGGGCATCAGTGAGCTTGTTAAAGATGCAGATTCCCAGGCGCTATGCTTCTGAGTTCTAATTCAGCGGGTCCAGAGCCCAAAGCCCTGGAATTCAGATTAGGGTCAGCCCCAGGCTTAGACTTGATTAGCTCCTGGTGAGAGGAAGGCTCTGGAAGAGGCGACCAGGAAGCTCCAAGTCTGATCTTTTCCTTGCTCTCAGTGCCCCTGGCCCACCCTCAGACCCTGCAGAAGCTGAAGGTTCCCATCATTGACTCGGAAATCTGCAGCCGCCTGTACTGGAGGGGGGCTGGGCAGGAAGCCATCACCGAGGACATGGTGTGTGCTGGCTACCTGGAAGGAGAGCGCGATGCCTGCCTGGTGAGCCCCTCCCCTCTCCCCCCTCCACACTGGGCTTCTGCTAGAATACTGGAATATGCTAGACCTATTCTTCCACACCCCGCCCCCCAACAGTACCACACCTCAGCCTGACCTGAGGTGTTCACCCCTCAGGCATCTCATATGGCAGGCCCTGGGATACAGCCAGGGACAAAGCAGATCCCAATCCTCATGAGGGGCTCTCTAAACCTGACCCCCAGCTCCAGCTCTGGCATTTGCAAGCTGAGGCAAGGCTTTCTTTCTTCTTGAGCCCCTCAGGGCTGTGAGGAAAGAGCTAAAAAACCGAAAACCCAAAAAACCAAACAGCTGCACTCATGTGTATCAGAATAGAACTGCACTCTAGAGTTTTCAGTGGTTGATTGTTCAGCAGTAGATCACCAGGTCTTTCTTCCGGGGCACCGCTTCGTGGACTTGAACCTCTAGCCCAGGGGCTTTTGTCAGGGGGAGGGAATGCAAGATGCTTTCACAGTGCGCGTGTCCTTCCTTGAACTCCTGTTCTGTTTTCAAGGAAAAATGCGTTCTCCTAAAGCAACCTCTGCTCCCCTTCTCTCTATGTGGGCTCCATATATTCCCCATCTCCTGCAGGGCGACTCCGGGGGTCCCCTGATGTGTCAAGTGGATGGGTCCTGGCTGCTGGCTGGCATCATCAGCTGGGGCGAGGGCTGTGCGGAGCGCAACCGTCCGGGCGTTTACATCAGTCTCACGGCCCACCGCTCCTGGATCCAGCGGATCGTGCAAGGGGTGCAGCTCCACGGCCACGCGAAGGACAGTGGGGACTGGAGAGCTCTGCGGGGGACCTCCTAGGGCCAGCTGTGGACGACAGGCTTTGGGGCCTGGGGAGACCAGGGCTCTAAGTGTCTCCTCCATTGTAAATAAGCCATCTACCTCTGAGGGGCGTCCGTGTACCTGCGCAGGGATCACTTCCTGCTGGAAGGTGGCCCCGCCCAATGGCTTGGGCTCCTCCTCGGGGCAGGGAAGCGAGTTTGTGTATAGTATACAAAAGTTAATGATTTTTACAGTTATTTGTAATCTCTCCCACCTATTTTATTTATTCCTCCAGTTTCAATAAATTATTTATTCCGCAGTCCCTGTGTTTCCTCTCTTGTATAGGGATATTGGGAAGTGGAGGTTCAGTTGGGGTTAAATGGAGGGAGGTGGCTCAGAGGTTGGATGGCGGCCTGGCTAGGGCCTCAGGTGTCCTGTGGGGCTGAAGCAGACCCCTGCAATGTCGTGTCTTCCCACTCCTCCAACTTGATTCTGACTCAGCGGTTCTATTGGGCAGGGTTTCCAAGGCTATAAGTCTCCTGGGGCAGATGGCTGCAGCTTTCAGTTCGAAGCCAAGCGTGTAGACTACTGCGCCACCAGGGCTCCCTCCCCTCCCACTAGGAGGCTTCAGCCACAGGTCTGTCCACATGAGGAGGGTGAGGCTGGCTGGGAGAAACCCATCCCATATGAGAGTAGGGTGTCACCGTCACCCCCTCAACTAGAGCCAGCTTCCCCCTTTCCTCCCTGCACCTGCGCGCTCTGTGCCCTGCTGTGCAGGGAGTATCGCCTGAACAAGTCAGTAGCTACTGGCTCTGGGGGAGTTGGCAGCTGAGCTAGGGGTGGCCCCAGGAACTCTCTCCCCATTTTAATCTCATCACCACCCCAGTAGCTGGTTCCTCTCCTGATTCATTGCTGACTATAAATTCCTCCCCACCAAGGAAGGAGCAAAGCAATGAGACAGCAAGTCTTTAGGCTCTCTGCATCCGAGGCTGACTCACCTGGCCTGCCCCACGGAGGAATAAGGGACATTGTGCCAGGCCACAGTGGCTCTGGGCTCCTGAATCTGCCTGTGTCCCCTCTTTCCCAGAATCCAGGGGGAGTCTGCCAGCCCACCCTGATGGGGGCTGTGGCAGCATAAGCTCCCCAGAGGCCCTTTCCAGCTCCCCCTGGGCAAACTGGCATTCTGCTGCGGTGGAACCAGTCTAAGGAGTGAGTGGTGACTCAGGTGGGCCAGGTGCCAGCCTGCCCAGGTGTGCAGTCTGGTCCCTCGGTCCTCCCGTCCATCTGTGACCTAGTTACCTGCTGTCCCCTTGCCTTCCTTTCTTGTCTCAGTCCTGTCCCCCCAGGCTCTTATTTATTGCCTAGGTGAGAAAGATGAGGCTTCCTACTCCCGTAAAGATTTACACCCTCGGAAACCCTGTACAGGGTCGCTATGGGTCGGAACCGACTCGACGGCACTTAACAACAACAACAACCAAACAAGAAGAGTTTCTTCTTCTTTTTTTTCTTTTTTTCCCTCCCTATATTTTATTAATTTTTGTAGTTGAGAATATGCACAGCAAAATTTACATCATTTAAACTCTGTCTACGTGTACAACTTGGTGACATTGTTTACATTCTTCAAGTTGGGCAAATGCTCTCACGAGACTTTCTGGAGCTGTTCTTCCTTCATTTACAGAAACTCACTGCCCTCTAAGGTTCCTAGCTAATCTGCGTTCCTGTCGTCAATTTAACCCTTCACAGCCCTTAGAAGAGCAGAATGCTCAAGGCAGGACTTTGTTGGGAAGGGCCGTAGAGTCAATTCTGACTCGTGTGCAACCCTGTATAGGATTTCTGAGGAGTGGCTGATGGGTTTGAGTCCCAAACTTTGTGGTGAGCAGTCCAGTGCTTATCCTACAGCATCGTACCAGGCCTCTGTAAACTGTTCTTTGGTTTTATTTCAGGTAATCATTTTTTGGGTAAAGATTATCTCAGGCAATAGCCTCAGGGATTTCTCCACCCTCCATGACTCTCGAGAGTCTAGCGTTCATGAAAGTTTTAAAATTCTGGTCTGTATTTCCGCCCTGTTCATCAGGATTCTTCTAATGGAATCTTTGATCACAATGTTTAGTGATTTCAGAAAACCTCACTTTCTCAATAACACAAATGTAACTAAATATATTTCCAAGTCTTAAGTCACTGTACAGAAGTCCAAAGAGAGAAAATTTTCACAAAAAATCTACCTGTCGTGGTGGGCTGGCAACGTCTTGCGTATGGGGTCCCCAGCCGATCTCCTCCCTCCCTGCCTTCCTCGGATGGTGGCTGTTTATGCTGGA